AGATACCACAACTGTTTAGCACACGTTTGGTCAAAGGATGGGCTTCACTTATCTCTTTGACGAGTTGTAACATGGTACTACTAATGGCGAGACTCACTGACGATGCAGGCGAAACATCTGGGAATGTACCACGTCCACGGTCCTACTCTGGAAATGATGATGCATACAATGGACTCCGGACTATGTGCGTTCCTCTAAGTCTTCCTACCATATGACCAAGTTGCGAGAACAAGGTCAAACAACTTCTAAATTTGGGTTGTTTACAGATTTGCATAATCAGCCTTGCCATTGTTTCATTAGTGAGCAACCTATAAATGTCAACTAGTGATCTACCTCGTATTATCCTGTCCTATCACTTGGCACTTGCTTAATGCATCGGAGAACTCAATTTAAAATTGGATTCCCCGGTTGTGGTATGCTTGAATGGAAGCAACTACTGAGTTTATACATCCTTTCAACGTATGCACATTAAATTGTGTCTTATAGGGTAAGAGCGACCAGGATTTTTCATTGTTCGTTTAAAATTTCGACTTATTTTCATTTCTTGCTAAGTTTGTGATAAATGGCATCGAGGATTAATCTTATTATGAACTGACAATTGATTCATTTTGACTTTTCGTTTGTTTATACCATAATGTTATTTTGGATGTCTGTTATAATAGGCATAATCAGAGCGGGGTATCATTCCTACAGCTATTTTTGTTTGTTCATGTAATATAATCTTGAAACATGTGTGTGTTTGTTTAGTGCACATTTTAAATTAGCATGTTTTAACCCAAACCAATTAAGCTTGTTTCTACGGCTAATTTACCCATAGTGCGTTAATAAAAGTATAAAACAGCTGGATAAGAGCAATCCATCGTTGTTATCTTTATTACACGCTTTAACTCGAAAGTTAACTGAACTTAGCATTTTTTAATTAAGAGATTTATTGAAATAAAAAAGACATATTAGCTTAAAAATGGGCAAAGATAATACTTGTTTTTAAAGTATAATTCTGAGGCTGAACGAATTACCTTTATAAAGTTGGATTACCTTGAGTCAGGCATTTTACTTAAAAATAGTGCTCTTGAGAGTAATCATATTTTGAATAGTCATTATGAGGGCTTACTAATTAACGATGGCTACTGAAGCAAAACGTATACGATTTTTATCCCAAATCATTTATGCTGTTCGCCTTGGAGACAGTCAACTGAAAACAGGAAGTCTAACTAATACTTATCGTTAAGACTGATTCATTTAGGCCATGAGGATAAAATAGATCAGGCTTAATGATAAAGGGACAAGCTTGACCTTCGTTCCTCCATATACTAAATGGAAGAACTAAACATATGACTGGAGGATAGATATGGCTAAGTAGATAACCAGCTTATATATGAGGTGTATTAATATATTTCGCCTAAAATGCTGAAGGGACTGGTAGTAGTCATCCCCAAACGTTTCCGCAATGATGGACTGTTTTTTCAACTTTTTATCTCTTATTATATTAGCTAATTATATTATACAATTTATAACTCAAATGCAGTAGGCCTTGCTTTGAATATGCTTTTAGTGCAAGTCTACAGCTTCTCACCTTTTTACAGATAATATCGATTTGACCTAAACAACCTGACCAAATCGCGCTCATTTCTTAAATGGCGAGAATGTTATGAACAATCGTTTCGTCCATCTGTTTCAGCTATTTTGTGATTGTTCTACTGAGTATTTCAGGCATACAAAGACAGTCAATGATTCATCATTTCTCTTACAAAATCTGCCTAAAATAACTGGCTATATACTTCTTTGTCTTATCTTGTCTGATGAATGGCCTTAGCAAAGTATTTTTGCCTTTTTCTCAGATTTTTTTAAACCTTTGTATCGCGTTCCAAGCAATGCTACCATTTTATTGTCGAGTTAAAATTATCTTAGAGTAACGTTATATTTTACTCTCCTAATCTCAAGTACGTTTTTACTATTTCTCCTACCTCCATACCTCTTGTTCTACTGTCACCCACAAACCACTTTGGAAACTTATATTTTCACAACACCTTGCACTAAATATTCATTATACTTATATTGTTTCTCTTCGTCGCATCTTTTAGACACAGTCCTCTCGCTTTTTACGAGTAAAATTTGCATACCAATGGTACAAATGTTTACAACATACGCATTTTTACCCAGCCTTTTTATGAGCTTGTTTCTTTCAATGTGATTTTATTGCGGTTTCTCCGCTTTAGCCTCTAAGATCAGATTATTTTTGTCCCTATTTTTGCAACGATCTGAGTGGGATCTTTGATCATTCATATTGAGAGAAACTTGACGATTTTTTTGGGGCATAGTGTGTCCATGTGTTTGATCATTACTACAAGCTGAAAGGTCCCCAACGCACTAATGGGAAACCTTACTGAGCTTTCATATACTGCATGGAAAAAATCTTTAGGGCTGGAGGTTATTCGTAAACTTATTTCTACCTAATACTATATGAAAAATCTGCTATACACTGTAATAACTTAATCCAAGTATATCCACCTAAGTTCCAATTAAGCCCTGTGATCTAGTTGGTTTCACACTTCCTACAATATGTTTCTCACTGTGTCCCAAGGGTCTTAATGTATTACTTTGAAAACTATGGTCTTAACAAAATTTCTTTTTTTCGAGCTCATAGCCTTTCATTTCTGATCATCAACTTTTGATTTTACACGTACGGTTATCTTTTTAAGATGAAATTACTTATAATAGCACTTTTTAATAGGAATGCGGTTTTATAAATATAGCATATTTGATCATAGTTTGCCTATTTTTGCCTATTCCAGAGTTATGTCTTTTGAGCAGATTTAATGAGGCCTAATCACATCCCCCGCTGATTTCCTTCTTCCTCTCCATTCTTCCAGAAACGTTGATCAGTCGCTAATCTACTTCATATCATCGCCATCAGAGTCTCCTTAGTACCTTCCGATTCACTGATTTCACTTGGGTACTTCTACCATCTTATTAGTTTACCTAAGGCTTTTGATGGCAGGTATTCTGTAGCTTCACCAAGCAGGCCCCCAAAGCCGGAATTCCTAAGCTGGATGAAAGATTAACATAACATTGCAATTTTCCTTTCCTTAAGTGCAATGGCATCTTGGTCTTCATACCTTCTATTATATTTTTAACGCAGATTTTTCTAAGAAACACAAATCGAGAACTAAGGGCAGATCATTTTTTAGAAGTGTATACGGGGGAAATGGACTATGTGTATCCGATGAGACTTAGTCACAATGAGTAAGCTAGGCTTCCAACCTTGAAGCATTTCAATACTTGCCATGTCCTTCTTCACTGATGGTCTTGACTTCCCTACTTGCTTAAGGTCATTTTTTAAAAACCAACCGTTTTTCACGTAGCTCTTTATTAAGATTTAGGAGGGTGTACAATGATATAGATGCCTTCCTCGAAGTCACTCATTCCCTGCCATCAGGTTGCTAAATGAGAGCACACAGGCTTTCTATAGTAAAACAAGACATAAAACTTAGAAGGCCATAATATCCTAGTATTCATCTCTGCATTCCAGTTATTAGCCGTAGTTCAAAAAAATTCATTCGCCTAAATTGTCTGTATGTGTATTTGCCAAGCTCTTTACCGATACAAATATTTAATGATATAGAGATATAAATGCAAATGCATAATATTACAGTCTTTTTGGTTATTTTTTGTCGAACTGTTAATTAGAATATCTATTGTGTCCACAGAACATTCTTGTTTACTGCACATATCGTATGAATTGGGAATAAAATTGGCATATAGAATCAATCAATCTACTAGGTAGCTGCTTGTCATAATCTTCATAGGAAAGACACTTATCTCAAACTCACCTTCCCTTTTGTTGAAGATCTCCTTTTACACATGTTTTTTTCCATATACCTCCAAATAAATATATTATAGATTTACATCAATGGGTTTGGCTAGCAAAATTTATGAACAACAAAAATTGCCTTCTATCATAGATTAGTAAAATTAGCGCTAATATATAAAAAATCTCGTTTTATGGTTTCAAGTCATGCAAAATGAGGCCAAATTTTCTATCAAACATGCAGGATTAAAGTTTTGATAGAATTTCTTGTCATGCAGGTCACTAATGATGCTGTATTAGCTTATTTGACTCTGAGCCACGTGAGCCTTGTTCTAATTTTGTTAAATAATTCTAGTTTTTCCTATGCATTACATATTTTGAATTGCATTTTACTTTGTTTCACAGTTGGCTGAATTGAATGATCAACTCCAGACAGCGCAATATTTTCGACAACTCTATAAGACACAGGCGGCTGATGCGGAAGAGGCCCTGCAGTCGATTCGTTCTATTTCTAATCGACTTGAGGCTGAGTTGGCCCAGACTCGACGGGATCTAGAATCTGCTCAAGCTGGCCGGCGGGACGTTAATTCTCATCTAACGCAATTACAATCAGAGCTTGCTATATCTCGTGTTGAGCAACGTGGCCTGGCCGAGACGGCCGAGACTGACAGGAGAGCGGCGGCTGAGGAAGTAGCTAGGTTTCGTGGGATGGCAGAGATGCGTGCCACTGAGTTGGTAGCAGTGGCAGGCCAGTTAGATGAAATGCGATGCAGATGCGCTGGCCAAGAGGAGAATATTGCTAGGTTGACTGATGAAGTTACTCGGCTTCGAAAAGCAAACCAGCTTATGCATGCTAAAGTGGACAGTGTCGTTGAAAAGCTCTACACAGAAGTTACCAGCCGACCAGGCGGAGCAG